AGTCTTATCAACCACCACCTGTCGCTGCTATGCTATGCTGTTTTTGCTCGCTTTGAGCTCGTAGTGGAAAAAAATGATTGAAAATTCACCACATTGTGGGTGCATGCGATTTGTTTTGGAGTCCCAGGCTGCAGCCCTCGCGGGCTTTTTCATTACCATAGTCAATCAGTGGTTAGGGTTTTGCAGCAAAAACAAGGGGCACCTAAAACGCCAAATCCCTGGTCACAGCAGCACGCAGCAATCGCCGCTGTTTCAACCCTTCTGAGTAAAATTTTCCGCTGGCAGAAAAGTATCCTGGATTCCTAAATAATTCTTAGGAGGCTTAAGCAGGCAGCTGGGGGACGTAAAATATTGTTGTCTTAGGCAGAAGTGTCTGCAGTTTTTACAGGCTTTCATTATTTTCCCACGTTTATGCATTCATGGAGACTCGTCCGTTTGGCATCTTGCTGGTAGATCGTTCTTATGCTTAGATAAACAGCTCCTTAGATGAGTAGAGATTATATTAAGTCAAGCAAAGGCTGGTTTAACCCGAATAGCAGGCCCCACTTGGCAGGATTCCCTGATAATACTGTCGTGTATTAAGGGAAATTTCTTACATTTAGGATAACATCCCGTCTATTTAGTTTTCACCACAATTTTCAGATGAATACTTAGATAATAGTGGTTGTCCGTTTTAATTTATATCGGAGTAGATTTTCACCATTCTTAGACTCGGGATTCGTACTTTGCTCTACTCTTTCGAATTATGTATTCCTCCGTCAATGGACTAAATCCGCTTATAAAATAAATGCCTCCCGAAAGCCTTGGAAGACTTAAATCACGTTTTTTTCGTTTCTATCTATTCGCCTTCTCCGTATAACTAATACTACTAATTGGTGCATAACTTATAAGGTCGTTATTTTATTTGTGGTGGATAGTATGCTCCTCTTGAAGTACCGTAATTTTCCCACGTTTAGATATTCATGGAGTCTTGTCTGTTTGAGAGCTTGCTGGTAGACAGTTCTTGTGCTTTTACAAACTAGGTCCTTATGTGAATTGAAATGATATAAAGTCAAGCCAAGGGTGTGTTTTATCCGAACACCAGGCAAAATATGCTTTCCACGGTAGCAGCTTCCTTCCAAAAATCTTGAAAACCCTACATCGTGTTTTTTCGGTCTCGCTGTACTGGCCTTCTCCGTATATAATTACTACTAATTGATGTATAACTTATGAGGTCTTCATTTTATTTGTAGCAGGTAGGATACCTTTCCTGAACTAATTTAATTAGAATATTTGTTTTCTAGTTCAACTAACTGGGTTGCAGCTTTCCGATTTTTTAATATTTTTATGTAGCAGCCAATTCTTTTCAAGGTTACCACTTTTTATCACCTCAACGCAATCGTCCTCCTTTTGGTCGATAAATATTGTAGAGGATTGCGTACTCTATAACTAAATGTGTAGGGCCGGTCTGGTTCTGTTTACTTGGATCGTTTAAACGCGTTGTCTTTGTGATTAAATTAATAACTGTAATGAGACAATTGTTATGGTTCTATTATTGGAGGGCATTAGATAAACATCAATATTTTGCTTACAAACAACGTCTCCAAGCTTAGAAGCAATGAGATAAAGTCAGTTTCGCGGGAACAAGATGAGAAATTCAAACTAATAGTAAGGGAGTTAGGGAAAACAAAATGGACAAGAGGGACAATCAACTATAGGATAAACAGTATAGTGTAGACTTACGTAAAAAAATGTCATAAAAATGGCCTCAACTTTAATGCCAAAGGTTTAAACCATAAGGTAATACGTCTGATGTTATAGGGAAGTAAATAGTTAAATAGATGGAAGTGGGGGCAACAAGAGACCGTATGTAGGCACGTACCAATATAATGCGCCTAAATGGCCTTCGAGACTTGCAAGTCATTTGCTTTTCTGGCGGAAACTAGCCAACGGGGAGGACAGAAAGAGATATGCTTTTTGAAAGTATCATGTCAAAATTTTCAGCAAAACGTTCTGCATTCACAGGGAATAAAATTTGGCGCACAGACTCACAACACCGGGAAATCAAAAGCAATCCATGATCGTCAATGACTGCAATTGTCCACGTCGTGAATAAATGCCCTTGGAAAGTTCATCAAATGTAGGCCAAATTTGACTGCTTTCAAAACGTCGCTAGCGTTGTGCACTGGTGATCTCATTGTAGTTCAAAAAAACAAAGAGGGATAAAAATCTGTTATCATGGGCAAAGTAGGCAAAACGATTATCCGCGATTATTTCCTTGATTATCTGGAGGTCATATACTAGAAACTGCATAGAGAAAGTTGGGGGACCCACTGAGGAACCGAACCTCTCGTTGTTTTATCATGCAGCACCAGAAGCATCGGCGAGACACGTGTTTGGGCTTTTAGCTAGTAGCTATGCGAAAGTACGGTATAACATATACGAAACTTTACGTGCGAATGGAGGGAGGAAAAATGGTGGCTCAATTTGAAAAGCCGTTCCTGACCTTTCCATCATTGCGCCGGATTGTGTCAATTTTCTTTTTGTCACTGGCTACTGTACTGTGTCTTTCTTTTTGTTGCTCCCCTACAGACTGTCCGTCGATCAGGGGCTACAACGTCTTTCCACCGCCGCGGAGTGAGGCGGACGATGAGGACGAGGATTCTGCACGCGTCTCCCTCCTGCCCTGGCTGAACGCCTCATGGATTGAACTGACGCCCCGC